CTGCAGAGAGGAAAATACTGCCCATCGGTTTCATTAAATGCTGCCCCTCCTCTCCAGGTTCCTCTTCTTTGACCGAACTCTCATGTACTTCCTTGGCTTGCTCAGGATGGAGAGCGGTGGACGGGGCCAATAAATGTGTCATTTACCAGCCCCTTTTGTTTTCTGAATTAATACAATCAGTGATTGGTATTGATCACTCACTGTGTCCATTTATAACTGAAGCATAGTATACTGTGTTTATTATTATGCTTCAGTTTGTGAATGAATTGAAATCTACTCAGCACAGAGCACTTCCCATTCAGTTACTATCTAGTGCAGCTGAGGCCACAGAGAAAGCAACTGGGGAAGCTTTGTCCTCAGTCCCTTTCTCTGCCTCAAAAGTGAGACATCAGAGTTCTGTTTAGACCCCTCATATTTCACCAAAGCCCCCCAACGGGGTTCCTAAAAAACTGTAAAGAAAAAAAATATTGTAAAAACTATTTAAAAAAAAAATAATAATAATAATAAAATAATACAAATAACAAACTACTGACACTGTTCACACTGCTCTACTGACACCATCCATTGTCCTACTGATACTGTCCCCTGCTCTACTTGCTGACAAAGAAAAAGCTACATTTTCCCCACTAGTTAGGCCGTGCTAGTTAATTTTTTTTCTTTTTTTTTAAAAGGGGCATCGAACCCCAGTGATCTTTGATTCTGTTTATGTTGTTCAGGAAGAATTCCACCTGTCAAAGTTTGCCTACCCCTGCTATACTAACCTGTCTAACATACACATTGCAACAGATGTATTCTCTGCTCTAACACAAAGGGGTTTATTTACTAAAGCTGGAGAATGCAAAATCAGGCTCACTTCTGCATAGAAACCAATCAGCTTCTAGCCTCAGCTCATTCAATAAAGCTTTGGCAATAAAACCTGAAAGCTAATTGGTTTCTAAACAGAAGTGAGCCTGATTTTGAACTCTCCAGCTTTAGTAAATAAACCCCAAAGTGACAAACTCTAACTGATCTCTGCATAACTTATCTGTACAGTCCCACTGTTATTTATGTGGTGGAGGGTAAAGTACAAACAGGAGGAAGAGGTCCACCAGTTCAAAAATTCATGCACTGCTGCCCAGATTTCTTAGCATTCTGTAGTGCTCAGAATGTAATTTTCCTCCACAATATCCACCCCATTACTGATACATGACATATCATGACATATCCCATAAAAAGGCAGGACCATTCCTTCACTGGATGAATCGTTCATTATACAGTATATGGTCAAATATAATTTATTTAACCTTTACAATTACATTAAATCAAATAAACACAACAGAGTGAGCAATTAAACACTGTTTCCTACTATATGCTACAATCTAGGGTGTGACTGTATGGTACAGTGTTCAGACATTCCCAGTTTCCGAGGACCGTCCTTGATTTTATACCTCTATCTCTGGAAAAAGTGTTTCTTGGTTCACCTCCATTTCTCAAATGGCATCCCAGCCTGTGGACTGCAGGGTAATGAACCTGGCAACATTTTTGTTATTGGAATAATTCTAAATTACTTACTACTAACCCCTGAACTTTGCATTACTTACTACTGTGCTCTGCACTGTGTTACTTTCTTTTGTCTTATGCACTCTGCAATACTTACCACTGACCCCTGCACTCTGCAATACTTACCACTGACCCCTGCACTCTGCAATACTTACCACTGACCCCTGCACTCTGCATTACTTACCACTGACCCCTGCACTCTGCAATACTTACCACTGACTCCTGCACTTTGCAATACTTACCACTGACCCCTGGACTTTGTGTTAAGTACTGATAAGCCCTGCACTCATACCTGCTCTCATAATCCCTCCTCATACCTGACCTGTCCGCCTGTCCACAGTGAGCACCCAGGGGGCCACAGTGCATCATCATGAGCCCCAATCCTATGAATGAATTGTCACAATTGCCTGTTTATTGCTCAAGTATTGTCATGATTACATATTTGTTATTTATTTGATTTATTACAGATAATTATATAGCGCCATCAATTTACACAGTGCTTTAAAAACACATATATTGTACACCAGTCCCTGCCCTCGAGGAGCTTACACTCTAAGGTCCCTAACTCACATTCATACATACATATACTAGGGACAGTTTATACAGAAACCAATTAACCTACTAGCATGTTTTTTGAAGTTTGGGAGGAAACTGGAGTACACGGAGGAACCTCACTCAGGCACAGGGAGAACATGCAAACTCTAGGCAGGTAGTGTCCTGGTTGTCCATGTATTCCAACAAATGCAGCATAAATGACATATAGTAAAAAAATAATATGGGCTCCTCAGCAGAAGATAAAATGTAATGTCGATGTCCTGTGAGTATAATTCAGGGAGGGAAGGAGGGGTTTTAGCTGGAGGTGGTGTTGTCTTAGGGGGAGGTGGGTTTTTTGGGTGAATGTGGAAATCTCTGCTTGGGAGGCACTCCGAGCATTACCTACTCCTGACCCCTTGCACTTGTGATCCAAAGTAGACTCAGGTTTTAGTTAATTATACCCTGTTAGCACAATTTTGCCACTCCCAACATTCTGCATAGCATGTTACACATGATGCTTTTGGACCTGCCTTACTCTAATCCTGTCCGGCTCTCAATAAAAGTGGGCTTGGACAATAGGGCGTCCGCACATTTCATTTTCAAAATCTGGTCACCTTACTGTATGGAGAAAAAGGGGCACCAAATGCTCCTGGACCAGTGATATAGCTGTCCCAAGCATCCATCATACTTCATATATGTATTTACATTCTTAGATTACATTCTGAAGAGAGGGAAGTTTTGTTTCCCTCTATAACTTATTTGCTGGGTTTTTATGAAGTAGAAAAAAATCCAAGTTTAGTCCAAAATTAAAAATATCAATCTCTGAATTAAAGACCTTTTTTGAGATGTGAGTAGATTCAAATTTTAAATCTCATGCAAGGGCTTTGAGGCTTTTTTCAATCTAATTAATTTTTTGATACTGTGCAGAAGGTATGCTTGTAGTCAATTACCTTCTCTAAACATCCAACACTGGTTGAATGTCTGTTTAGTAGCAACATAAACTATCTCTTTAACTGGTATTTCACACCGAGGCACACATGCAGCTGGGGCCTGCTGAGGTCATGTGAGCACAGATATAGTCACATCAGAATTCTACAGCTGCTGACTCAAGCAAGGCAAGAAAAACAAGGAAGAGGAAATGTACCGGTCACGCCAAAGAGCTACCATGTGATGATTATACAGAAAATATTGTGAGATGCAAATACATCCATGTAACTCTAGTTTCTTAAACCATAGCACCCCCTTACTATACCTCCCTGCTCTGTTGTAAAGCTTAATAATGATGCTGAAAGCACCAATAAATCTAACCTGTTTCTTTTTGCACTTTTTGGTCCTCTATATCTTTATATTTTGGCAACTTATTTTTAAGTTGTACTGTAATTTATTTTTTAACGACTTCAATACCAGGCACTTATACCCCCTTCCTGCCCAAGCCAATTTCAGCTTTCAGCACTGTCGCACTTTGAATGACAATTGCACGGTCATGCAACACTGTACCATATGAAGTTTTTATCATTTTCTTCACACAAATAGAGCATTCTTTTGGTGGTATTTAATCACCACTGAGTTTTTTATTTTTTACTAAATAAAACAAAAAACACCTGTAACTTTTGAAAAAAAAATGCACTTTTCTTCGTTTCTGTTATAAAATTTTGCAAATAAATAACATTTCTTCATAAATTTAGGTCAAGATGTATTCTGCTACAATTCTTTGGTGAAAATAATAATAATTGAATTTGTATTTATTACATTTTTTTATTTTTTTTTTACTATTTCATTTTATAGCACACTTTGACCAAAGCAATACAATGTTACCATAGTAAAATTGGACTACTCTGGGCAAGTGATCAGGAGTTTTTTTTTTTTTTTTTTTACACATTGTGATTGCAAATACCAATGTATTTCATTGATATTTGCAATCAGTGTTACTGAATGAAACTGATTCATTCAGCCTTTTGTTGTGATTAGCTGTGATTGGGCAAAGCTCATCACATGATACAGATGGGCTGTGATTGGGCCTGTCTGTACCATGTGACTGATTTGACCAATCACAGCTAATAACACAATTGTATACAATGAATGGCATGACAGGAAGCCATCCATTGTATACAATTAACATGTGATTTGCTGTGATTGGTCACAGCGGTCACATGACACTGGCAATGGGCCGGTGTAGTGATATGTCATCGGCTGTGTCCCGTGGACACAGCCAGTGACAGATCGCGCCGCTGCGCAGCACCATGGCTATGTGAGTGGCTCGTTTTGACAGGATGGTAAATGACGCCCAGTCACAGCAGCAAGTGTTCCGCTCGGCCGTCAATCTGCTAAAGGCCAGGCGGGAAGGTGTTAAAAAAAGGATCTTCCTTTTGTAAGGTTGCTTTTTTTTAAAAGTTTACAAAAACTGAAAACTATTGAATAACATATCTATATAGAACAAAACTATTAAGAGTGCAGACCCTAATGTAAGTGGGAAGTGTAACTCTGATGTAAAGGAGAAGGCTACAAGTTTTGCAGCTTAAGTATTGATATTTGTATTGTTTTGAACTTAAAATTGTCATTTTACGTACTATTTTGAAGTGTCAGTAAAAAATTTGGCTTTGTGTTGGGCCAATAAAAAGGGTACTGTCAGTAAATATTTGGTGTCCTGTCAGTAAATTTCACTTTGGGAGGTTGGCAATACTACTTAAAGGGTTGATCTACAGTAGGTTAGACAAGCCTGGACACATGCTCCCCATGTGCAAGGCTTCAAGCTGATCTTGCAGCACATAGGAGCCCTGATTGTTTGCATCCAGGTCCTCAGCTTGGTCACTCACTACCAGGGGCGGACTGACAAATCATGGGGCCCCCGAGCAATAGGGGATCATGGGGCCCCTTTGTATTTGCCAAAACTCAAAAAAAGCATATGAAAAAGGTACCAGGGGCATCCCATGGGGCCCCCTACTGACCCCGGGCCCTCGGGCAGTGCCCAAGTTTCCAAATGGTCAGTCCGCCCCTGCTCACTACTAGGCTATGCTGAAGGAGGACTGCTATTGCTGCCAAGCAGGAGCACTCATACTGCCAAGTCATGTTATCATACGTGGAACACATCGTTTTTACAGTATAAACACTTCATGTTTATCCCTGATGATTTGCTAGCTCTGCTCTTTTTTCTTATTTTTTTTCAGTTCTTTAAAGTTGGTTATTACAAAGTTTTAAATGTGATTAATTTATGGATGGGCATAAGTACCATACTAGGGAACTTTTCAAAATGGAAATTCCTGAGAATGGGGGCACAGTAGGGAGCAGGGATAATTGTGGCATATACAATATATACCATGAAAATGGTGGCAAATTTGCAGTTTGAGGGGAGTGTTTGGTTAAGGTGTTGGGGTAAGGTGTGTGTAATGTACACAGTGCGGGAATCAGAAGTCACCCTCCTTTACATAGTATAGCAGTACATGCACATACATACACACGGCATACCGGGGGCGGACTGACAACTCATGGGGCCCCCGGGCAATAGGGGATCATGGGGCCCCTGTGTCCTTGCCCAAACTCAAAAAAGCCTATGAAAAAGGTACCAGGGGCATCTCACGGGGCCCCCTACTGACCCTGGGCCCTCGTGCAGTGCCCGAGTTTCCAAATGGTCAGTCCGCCCCTGCGGCATACAATGCCGCAGGCACATACATGCACACGACATACACATACTGTACATATAGGGCCAGGACAAGCAGGGGGAGGGCGAAGGAGGCAGGTGCCCTGGGCACCACAGTTTAATAGGGAGGGAGGGGTGCAATGTGAGAAGAGCAGCTACTATCAAACTGGTACAAAGGTCTGCCCTGATCAGGCACAATACATCATCAGGATAGTCGTTAGCGGCACTGCACTGCAGAGTGGCAGGGGGGTGTAGAGTGCTGGAAGTGCTCTATAAGTTCCTGCACTTGGCATGAAGAGAAACTGTGCACTACGTTCAGGTGGAGTGATCTCTGCTGGACAGGGGAGGATGGGCCCGACCTGCTGCTCTGCAGCATGACATAATTTCCAGGCCGGAAGTAAGTGGTACCACGTGGGAGCACGATGAAGGTAGTTAATTAATCACAAACATAAGTGCAGCAGCTAAGGATAAATGCAACTTTGTACAGACAAATGGTTGACCCCTTGGGAGAGTGAGGGGGTTAATTAACATTGCCACTAGCCAGTAATGCAAGGGGTTAATTAACACTGCCACTGGACATTGTTGCATTAATGGCCACTGACAGTCTTTATTAACCCCTTGCATTACTGTCCATTACTGTCTGTTTACTAACCCCCTCACTCTCCCACTGGGATAACTCTTCCTTTGTACAAAGCTGCATTAGTGGCCATTAGCAGTGTTTATTATCCCCTTTATGTTACATTAGTGGCAGTGATAATTAACCTCTTCATTCTGCATTATAAAGGGGTTAATTAAAACTGCCACTGACCACCAATGGGGAGGGATGTCTTAAATACCGCCATCTCTGACCATCATTGCAGGGAAGTTAAGGGGGTACCAATGAAGGGAGAGTTTACAAAGCATGACATGACTGATCAACAATGTATACGTTATCATTGCGTAAATTGGCACCAATGCTGTAGACTATTTTTGTGAAAATTGACACCAGTACTGGGACTTATTACTGCATAAACTGGTACCGATACTGGGGCTTATTACTGCGTAAACTGGTACCAATTCTGGGGGTTATTGTTGTGTAAAATGGAACCCATGCTGGGGGTTATTATTATGTAAACTGACACCAATGCTGGTGCTTATTACTGCATAAACTGACAACAATGTTGGGGGTTTATTTTTGTGTAAACTGGCAATGATGATGAGGGTTATTACTGCATAAACTGGCACCAATTCTAGGAGTTATTGCATAAACTAGCACCAATGCCAGGGGTTTTTACTGAGTAAACTGGCACCAATGCTCAGGGTTAATACAGCATAAACTGGCACTAATGCTGTGAGTTATTTCCTGAGGAAATTGCAACCAATGCAAAGGATTATTATTGCACAAATTGGCACAAATGAAGTGGGTGCTATTATTCCAGAAACTGCCACCAAAGATGAGGGTTGTTATTGTGAAAACTGGCACCAGTGCAGTGGTTTTTCGCTGCTACTGACACCAGTACCGGTGGTTATTATTGCATCCACTGACAACAATGTGTGTGTGTGTGTGTGTGTGTGTGTGGGGGGGGGTTACTATTTCTGCAACAATGGGGCCTCTTTTACTCCCGCTTCCTCTTCGGTGCGATAAAAAAAAGGTATATTATGCTTCTGCTCAAGCAGAAGGGGATTAAAAAAAGTTGGGGCACTGAAACCACTACAATCAATATTGTTACAATGTGTGAGTGAATTCTGTTTTGAATTAAACCTAAATAAATGTATAATGCTTTAAAAATGTTCATGTCTTGAAAAGACACTGACTAATTCACAAACGACTAGGGGGGTTAGAACATCTCTTAGTAGTGGACATGGACAACATCTTTGCTCAAATAAAAGTTCTTTACTAATGAACTTGAAAGCTGCATATATATTTCACATCATACTCCAGACATCTTCCATATATATATAGAATTGGTTACATACAAATTGGCTGTGGGACTTGGCTGAGGTAGAATTGCTGTGCTGCTGTCCTGATACACTATCCCTATTCGTTACATTGAGCAAGGTGCATACACAACTTAGTGTGCCCCAGCCTTGAGAAAAAGACAAAAGTCCATTAAATGTGGATCTTAGAAGAATGGGCCCATTTGACGGAGAAAATAAGAAGAACCCTGCAGATATACTGTATATACCGCAGAAAAATAGGATATGACATCCTGGCAGTGGAAGAAGTCACACACACAACCCAACCGTTACAACGATCAGCCAGAATATTTAAAGTCACGTAACAACATGATAGTTATCACAAGCAAAATGAAACAAAATAGTGACATGCAGCAGGCACCTACCTACATACATGAACAAGGAGCTTCATGACACAATCATCAAGCATTATTTTAATGAAAGCTGCAAATTAAAAAAAAAATACAAAAATATCGAAGAGAACATTTAAATTCACTTTAACATTTTAAATCTTAAATAAAATTTCAGTTATTGGGTTTACAATTACTTTAACTTTCTGAGAAGAACTTTACAGAAAACCAGCACTGATAACACACAGGTGGGACCTTCTTTCATGTATAATAACAATTGCAAAAGGTGTAGGGTCTGACTAATCCTGTTAATCTGGAGGGTTTGTAAATTCAGATAAGTAAAGATGCTAAAATTATAACATCCAGTGGCAAATACTTAGCATCCTTGGAGAACAAAGGCGCAGTAGTGTAGTATTGGAATTATTTTACCTAGCAATTGCTTCTAGTGATGAAAGACATACTGATGGAGGATTTCCAGGATGTTTAGGAAGTTAAATATTATAATCCAGCAATAAAAATGCACAGCCAGAAGAAAAACAGACTTCATCTCCTGCTGGTAACGATTTTACATACTTTAAAGAAATGCATGTATAAGGACGTCATTGACATAAACATCCTAGATTGCTGTAGATGTATTAATGCCTGCAGGAAAAATCTAATCTCTTGAGCCACTATGGTTTATTGTATAGGAAACATTTGTAGGGGTTTATGACCTATACCGGTTGTGATAATCAACATTTACCAACCACAACTATGTTATCAAAGCCTGACTTGGAATTATCTTCCTGGATATTGATGTATCAGATGCTACTTGTAGCACTCACTCCACAGTTGTGCACAATAAAGGAACATTAAGTATCTGAAATGCTAACTGGTTTATTACTGCTGCTCTGTCCTTCAGCTATTTGTCTGAGATTGATTTGTCTGTGAAATGTGGTTTGTTAGTTAAAGAAGAATGCTAGGCAAATGCTAATAAAACCACCACTTAATCAATGCTAAAGTCATTTAAAACTATGCTATCTGTAATTGTCAACTATACTTTGTTTAAAGGGCCAGTTTACTCAAAATAGTAGATTTTAATTTGTTTGTAAAAATCCTGGTATTCCAGGAATGGCAAAGTGTATTACATATCACCAGGGGTGTATTTACCACAAGGCAAACAAAGCATTTGCCTAGGGCTGCATTTTTCAGGACATATGCGGCATGGGGACCAGGTGGGATCCGAAAGAGGCTGCGGGCTGCTTGATGGTGTATGCAGAGCCCAACTCACATTCCCGGGGATGCAGATGAGTGTCTTTCTCTCAGTTGCCGGGGAGGGGGGATAGTGGAAGGGGGGGCAGGAGTGTTGTTGGTCACTGACAATGGTCAGGTTCTCTCCGGGAAGGGGGGAGTAGGAGTCTGGTGTTGGTCTAAAGACACCACTGCATATTACTGGCCTTCTCAAATGCATCACTTTGGGATTCAGTGTTTTGTATTTTTCTGGTACTAAAAGAGCTTTATTTGAAAGTTTTACAAGACGTGAAGTCTTAAATGATATATGAAAAACAGTGATTAGGGGAACAGTATACAGTCTCCTAGCATCAATAATGACCTGCTCTGGGGTCCGTTTAACTGAAAACAATTATAGTGCTTGATTATTTAGAACTATACATTAGAACACATGCAGTGTTTTGTATTTTTCAAATCTAGTTACAAGGATATTCAGGTTGAAAAAAGACATAAGTTCGCCCCCCCTTACTGAGGAGGCCTTAGTCTATACGTTTCATTGTTTTCTTGCTTGGTGGACTCGACTGCTGCATAAAATCTAGGAGCACTTTCTAACCTACAGCTAGTGCTCAGTCTACGTTTCTAACCACTTACCGACCAGCCCATGGAGCTTTACTGTTACAGGGCAGCTGCTCTGCGCAGAATCATATATATATATATATATATATTTATATATACGTGATTCTGCATTTCTGGGAAGGGGGCACATGTGCGCCTGCCCACCCGGCTGTGCTGTAATTCGTCACAGTGCATGCCGATCACTGGGTCCCAGCCAGTGATTGACCAAAGGCACCCGGTGATCGACTGGCTCTGAGTCTCATGGAAAACAGCTCTGTGAGTGTAAACAGCACAGAGCTGTGTTCAATGACAGGGGATCTA